TCTTTCTAATAGCATATTTGACATTCTGTCCCAAAAAGAAAACTTTATCACCCACAAACTTTCAGGCATTAATACAATTACAGATGCATTCAATTGATTCCATGTTTGTTTCAAAAGTATGCAGCTGAATACATATTGTTAGGAAAATTTTCAATGCTCCTGATCACGTTTTGAATGTATCGTTTTAAAAACAATATTAAATTTCATCATCAAACATGAATATCCCTTTTACAGATTATGATAAGGATTCTATCTTTACTTTTGCGAATATTAATTGATTATTCAAATATACTAATTATTTTTTTTATATAAATGTTTCTTCTGATATTTTAGCAGTGCTAGTTTATGTTTCAGGTTATGATGCCATGAAAAAATAAGGGTGATAAAATGCAATATTTGACAGGACTGGTTGCAAAGTAGCCTTCAGTAGATACAGCAGATGATATTTTTGGTTTCTTTCTGAAAATTAGGTAAGGGGAAATTAAAAATTTTCCATCTGAAGTTACTCTATTAAAATCTTCAATTATATTTCTTGTTTGGTGAAATTCTTAAAAAGCATGAAAAAACATTTCTTATGCCAGGAAGCAAATGGATATTTTATTAAGTTATCTTGCATACAGTTAGTACACCATACAGTTACTTTAATTTAACATATTCTTGCTCTTGTGGAATGACTTTACAAACTCGGTTAGAAAATATGTTTGATAACTTGTAAAATAATGTTAAATAATTATACAAATATAAAAATGACAAAATCAATATAAAATGTTCATATAAAAATGTTAAAATATTAATTAATTTCAGTTAATGACTCAGTTTTATTTTGATTATGCTTGTTTTTTGCATAGATTATGTATAATATGTAGCATGTATGGATATGGTACAGCTTCAAGTTTATGAATTTATTTTTAATAGTGGAATAGACCTGTAATTTGGAGAAATCACTTTAAAAAAACCAAGCCTAATCACTTACCTCTTGGATTGTTTGGAAAAAGTAATTTTAATTGGAATTTGATTTAAAATTGGAACTAGTACAAATAGATGGCTGTCCTTTTTTTTTATGAATGCAATTAGCATTTAGTTCTTTGATATTATCTTGAAAGATTATTTATAGTACAGCATGCATGTAAGTTCATCTTTTATATTCAAATTTTCTAGCATTTAAGGAATTTTTAATTCATTTGCCTGTTTTGATAAATTGAGATATGCAGATTTTATTAGTGAATGGAACGAAGAGAGATGACTATGGGTATTTGTCTTCTAAAAATTTATATAGCTTGATGTGATGGTAGCGGCATGGAGTTTTACAAAATAATTCTTCCTTAATATTTATTTTACTAGTATGAAAATCTTAAATAAAATTTACATTCATAAATCTATTGAATTCCCCCTTAATGTGGATTTTATATTATTTTGACAATAAATTTGATTCAGATTACATAAATGGATTTCATTTTTATCAAAATTACATAAAATAAAGTTCGCATGTGTGATTTTTAGTTACGTAAGCGAAGTACAAATGTTTTAAAAATTATTGAAGATATACATTTTTACCGCCTTTAAAATATGCAGTATGAAAAATTTAATGTAAATCATACGACCTACTCACGTTTATTAATTTATATTTATTTTAAGACAAACTATTATTTTCGGTAAACTCTAACTCCGGGATTATGGTAAAGAGAAAAAGATCGACTATTTCGATCACGTGACCTTTCGAAACTGATTTCGCTTCAAGGTCATGATAGAGTTTGCTGTGGCATACGGTACGCTCCCCAGGAGGATTTGTGTCAGCATTGTTACCCTCAAAGTTACGACCCAGGCCTTTTTTTTCTTTAGCCCTGCGAAATCTCTATGAAAGGTACGACCCTAAAGTCTGCCCTTGTTATTAATGAACCAAATTTGACTTTGCATAATGAGGCTTCTTTGCTGCATCGACAATTTCTTACTGCATCGATAATTAAGCATTATTACTAATATAACATCTCCTCGAAAGACACTGTCCTTTAGTGTAGAAAAATATGTTTTTACAATTTCTTCTAGCCATATGACTTGTTTCATATACGACTCATAAGATTTCTCTCATCTATAGATACAGATACTTAAAGCAGCCTTTAGAATAAATATCTTACACAAAACTTACACTGATATATGAGTACAAATATGCTTGTTAAAAAAGTCTTTCCTCTAAATTACTTGTTACATAAGTGACAGAAATGAGACTTCTGCCCTGCATAAAGTGCTTCAAACTATCTCTTTAACTAAATTACTTCTTACATATTTCACATGTATGAGGTTTCTCTTAAATGCGACAATTTATACTGTCATTTCTATGAGCAAAATAAATATACCAACATTTGGTCATCCAACAATAAAGCTGGGCTTTCATTTTTCATCTATACAAAAAGGCCTTTCCTACTGTTTCAATATTTAACTATCAGTTACATAATTTGTTCAGTGTTCAGACTTTAAATTACACTTTTTGTTCCAAAAGATGCGATTAACTGTCCCCAAATTTCAAATATTTGCATAAAGTTTGCAAATATGTATTAGATTTTAAATATAAAATTTAAATAATATGCAATTTTTGAAGTTATTTTGTTAAAAAAAATTGAGTATTCAGAGGGTAAGTGTAAAAGCATATGCTAAACTACCCTTAATATTACATGTATTTTTAGATACTTTACACATACAAGGTTTCTGTCTTATTCAAGGAATGAGCATGTGTTTATTTAAACTACACTTTTGACCAAATGACTTTTTACATACTTCACACAGCCTAAACTTTCGCTCGAGTGTGAATACACATAGGTTTCTTTAAATTACACTTTTGACTAAATGACTTCTTACATACTTCACACACATAAGGTTTCTCCCCCGTATAAATGAGCATATGGTTGTTTAAATTACACTTTTGACTAAATGACTTCTTATATACTTCATACACATAAGGTTTCTCTCGCGTGTGAATGAGCATATGGCTCTTTAAACTACCCTTTTGATTAAATGACTTCTTACATATTTCACACACAAGGTTTCTCTCCTGTGTGAATGCGCATATGGTTCTCTAAATTACACTTTAGACTAAATGACATCTTACATACTCCACACACATAAGGTTTCTCTCCTGTGTGAATGCGCATATGGTCATTTAAACTAGACTTATGACTAAATGACTTCTTACATACTTCACACTCATAAGGTTTCTCTCCTGTGTGAAGGAACATATGGTTGTTTAAATGATCCTTTTGACTAAATGATTTGCATCATACTTCCCACACATAAGGTTTCTCTCCTGTGTGAATAATCAAATGCTTTTTTAAATCATTTATTTTTTTGATTAAATGACGTCTTACATACTTCACACTCATAAAGTTTCTCTACTGTGAGAATAATCAAATACTTCTTTAAAATACGCTTTCGACTAAACGCCATGTTACATACTTCCCACACATAAGGTTTCTCTCCTGTGTCAATAACCGTATGGCTATTTAAATCCTCCTTCAGACGAAATGACTTCTTACATACTTCACACTCATAAGCTTTCTCTACTGTGTGAATAAGCAAATGCTTATTTAAATCACCACTTTTTCTGAACGACTTCCTACATACTTTACACACATAACACTACATCATTCCTGTGTGAATAAGGGGCCACCAGCCGCTGATCGGTAAAGTCACTGAACACCGGTAACTCGGTCTGGTGTTCTATTCTCGCGAAATTGCTGTCTGAACGGGCGTCTTCATGGATTCCCCTATGTGTAACGTGTATACAAGCTAGTGTCTTTTAGAAAGTCTTTCAGTAAGGCATTTATCCTCTTATGCAGACTGCCTGTGTGTGCTTTGTCGTAATCCCAATAAACCGACAAAGGCAGACAGACTGACAAAGTAGACAGATGTCTTGTTTTGCACCTGCTAAGTCTTTCTGCTCCGATGGGCGAAAAATGAAGCTTAGGTGTGAAGGAAAGGTATACAGAAAAAGGGCATTTTTGTATTTCAGAGGAGAATAAAAAAGAACATCGTACAATTTATACGAGTTCGAAAAGCCAGGACAAAATAAAATAAAAATAAATGTACCAAATGTAATAGAGGAAAAAAAGGGTCTTATAGAGAGAAAAGGAAAGGAAGTAGAAAATTTCCTACAATAACGATTGTGTTCATGAGTGTAGACAAAAGGGGAGGAAGCTGTGTTCATGTGCAAAAATTAGCTAATTAAAAAAAAGTTCTTACATGGCAATGTGTATGCTGCCTTTATCTTCAGACCTAACTACAAAAGACACATATCATCACAGAGATGTACATATTATTTTAACTAAAGTAACATTAAGTACTACCGTTCCAAAAAAAATTCATGTATATTTCAGAAAAACAGTAATTGACAAAATCATAAATCCATACACAGTGTGAGAGCATATCAGCAAAAATAAAAATAATTACACAGTTTATTTTTCTTAAATATTAGTTAAATATAAAATTTATTTATTAATTTTACCGTTGTAATTTATTATAGTACAAGTATAACAAATTCCGTCACACTGTATTTATATTTGCACATAATTCTAAACTTGACACCTGAAAAATGTCGGGGGGTCTTAGCCAAAGAATCTCTAATAGAAATTCTTTGTCTTAGCTACAAAAATCACATTCTATTTTCATCGATGTTTAAAAGAGCGTAGTGGGATGAGGGCGCTGCGATCACCGAGGCAAGTGGCTGCACTAGAGATTCTTGTTATAATCATTGGCATTGGCAACACCATAGCGCGGAATAAATGGAGAATAGAAAGAAAAGCACATAAATATGAGATATTGAATCTGCTATTCAGGCGAGACTCCATTCTAAACAAGCATACAATTTCAACGCCTTTATTTTAAGTTTCTTAGGAGAACGGTTTGTTTTTTCAAAACTCGGAACAACAGTAGCTAACAACATAGCGCATCACCTCCAACAACATAGCGCGGCATACATCGGGAACAGGAAAAGACCTCTTGTTATGGAGGTCTTGAATCAGTTATTCAGGTGAGACTACGTTTTAAACAAGCATGCAAATTTCCATACAAAAAGAGAAGCCTTGTGTGACGTATTTAAGAAAATGTTTACTGAACAGTGTAGTTTAAACAACTCTATGCTAATTCACACAGGAGAGAAACCTTATGTGTGTGAAGTATGTAAAAAGTCCTTTCGTGAAAAGAGTAATTTAAATAGGCATTTGCTTATTCACGCAGGAGACAAACCTTACGAGTGTGAAGTATGTAAGAAGTCATTTAGAAAAAAGTGTTATTTAAACAACCATTTACACATTCACACAGGAGAGAAACCTTATGTGTGTGAACTATGTAAGAAGTCATTTAATCAAAAGGCAAGTTTAAACATGCATCTCCTTATTCACACAGGAGAGAAACCTTATGTATGTGAACTATGTAAGAAGTCATTTAATCAAAAGGCAAGTTTAAACATGCATCTCCTTATTCACACAGGAGAGAAATCTTATGTGTGTGAAGTATGTAGCAAGTCATTTATTCAAAAGTGTAGTTTAAACAGTCATATGTACCTTCACACAGGAGAGAAACCTTATGAGTGTGAAGTATGTAACAAGTCATTTAGGCAAAAGCCTAATTTGAACAACCATATGATCATTCACACAGGACAGAAACCTTATGTGTGTGAAGTATGTAAGAAATCATTTAATGTTAAGCAACATTTAAAGAGGCATATGCTTATTCACACAGGAGAGAAACCTTATGTGTGTGAAGTATGTAAAAAGTCCTTTCGTGAAAAGAGTAATTTAAATAAGCATTTGCTTATTCACACAGGAGACAAACCTTATGTGTGTGAAGTATGTAAGAAGTCATTTAGTGAAAAGTGTAGATTAAACAACCATATGCTCATTCACAAAGGAGAGAAACCTTGTGTGTGTGAAGTATGTGAGAAAGCATTTAGAATTATGCAGAATTTAAGCAGGCATATGCTTATTCACACAGGAGAGAAACGTTATGTGTGTGAAGTATGTAAGAAATCATTAAGTTGTAAGGGTAAGTCTCATCTATGTCACCTATCTAGCAAGTGATTTAGAGGAAAGAGTAATTTAAATAAGCATATTCGTACTCATATATCGTAGAAATTGTTTATATAGGTAAAAATTTATTTATTCTAAAGAGTGATTTAAATATTTATAGCTACAGAGATTCTAAAGAGTGATTTAAATATTTATAGCTACAGAGGAGAGAAATGTCATGACTCGTATGGATAGCAGAATTTATACAAAGCAACTATTCTATACTGAAGAGGTCTTGGTGTTTTGAGATGTTAAATTTATAGCGGTCTTTAATTAATAGTGCCGGAAGGAATAGTCGATGCTGCAATGAAGCCTCATTATGTGAAGTCGGTTTTGTTTCATTTCTACGATGCAAGCTTGTAGGACATAATTTAGGGTCGTTAACATTCATAGAAATTTCAGTAATGCTCAGTGGCAGAATTTAGGATTTCCATGTGTTATGCAGGGTGGTATAAATGTGACAACTGACCCTGTGTGAGGGAGGTAACTTGTAATTTGGTCAGTATAAATAATAAAGCATCTATTTGTTTCCCCAAAAGAAAAACCCAAAACAAAGTAAATCCCGTCATTTTAAGGATTTACTGATTTGAAGAAGATTTACTATTCCAAGTAAAACTAAAGCTTCTTGAGCATATAAGTTTTCTTTTTGCTTTATAACAGCTGTTTCCTTATAGATTTCAGTACATTTTTGTTTACTCGTAAGTTTTCAGTCTTTATATTTGTCACCTAGTAAAATGCATTATGGTGATCATATGCTTGTTACCGCTTTAAAATGCTTCTATAATGAAATCCTGAAGCATGGCTGAATGTTTCAGCCATACGTGTACATTAACCTATGTATACTTTGTGTTAAATTTGCTTTCTCAGTTTAAAGCAGATACCTATCTGAGCTTTCTGTTTATTGATTTAAGTGTGATGGTTGTGTTAAATTTGCTTTCTGAATGTAATGCAGATACTTATCACAGCTATCTATTTATTGATATAAGTGTAATGGATTGTGTATGTTATGAAATAGTGTATTAGGTACTTTTATCTATGATGAAAATATCCTGAAGACCATAATTACCTAGCTACAGTAGCAAATCCATACTGGAGTGCATAACGTTCACAAAACGGTTGCCTGATGTTACATTGGAAATAAATACAGGTTTTCCTCATCTTGCATTGCAAAAGAAATATCAGATCTCAAATGTTGGACATGCCAAGCAGAGCAACCGATGTATATGAAGTATATATGAAGACATTTAGAAGAATGAATCATTGAAAAAAGTTTAATACAGGTAAAAAATCCATATGTATTACATATTTATCCAAAACTGTTCTATGTATTTTTGTTTATTTTATTTAATAAATTTTCATTTTTAAAAAATTATAACATGAAATGCTTTCTTATAAATTACTTACACTCTGAACAGTGACATAGGTAGAAAAACATTGAAATCATCAGTATATATAATTAAATTTAAGTCTAATGTTATCTTAATATAAACATTTGAGGTTTTATATTGAGATGTATTGTTCCCTTATTTTATTTGAAAAAGTTATTGAGACCAAAAGCAAATGATAATTAACATATATGTGAAATATGGATTATGGGATGAGTTTTGTGAATGCCATGATAATTAACTTTTTGTTAATATTTAATACAGTTAAAAGTCGTTAATCCGGACTCGTCGGGCCTTCGGCGATTCTGGGTTATCAATTTTTCCGGATTATAGATCATCAGTTTAAATCTGGTAAGATGGCATGCAGAAATTATAAAATTAAAAATATGAAACCATAATTTATGAAATAAAGAACAATTATGATCTAAAGGGTATCAAAATTTACAAAAAGAAAAAGCTTAATATTTATTTGTTTACTTTATTAAACATTTCTTTCAATGTAAGTTGTTTAAGTTGCTTCGTTTTCATGTGATAATACTTTCTCTTTAATTCTATTAAACAGACATAATTTCTTGTTTAGTTACAAAGTTCCGCTGTTCAAGTCCTATAATTGCTGTGTCGAGAATACCGACTAATTTGTCAATCGAAATTTTTTTTCGTTTTCAATAACCTCTGTGTCACTTTCTTCACTATCGGAAGCGAATTATAATGACGAGGAATTTGATTTAAATCATATCAAAGACGGAGTACATCGAGATGAAATACTACATTTAGTAAGGAATTATAAGCCAAATAAAATAAAAACATCTGCCCTGAAGATAAGATAGTGCTGACAGATCAACTTCCAATTCATTGCGTGCCGCGGCGTTTCCCCCCCCCACCCAGAGCAGCGTGAAATTGATAAACAGATTTCGGAATGGTTAGAGAAACAAAGGATATGCCTTTATCCATTTTTTGCAGCAATTCCACTTTTTGTTTAATGGACTCGAAAACATACTTTCGCTTTGTAGATCCGTTACATATTAGTAAATATAAATCGGAAATTCTATTTGACATAATCGAAAGTTCAAGCTTACTTTTATAAAATTGCTCTAACAGTCTGCAAAAAATAATAAGCCGTATCCAATTCGAAGATTAAGGAATGACGTGGTCTGCTACATTAACTGAATTAGATAATTTTAGCTTAGCTTATACCGTCCATTATACATTAAATGCGCATGCGTAAATGTTTTATACGCATGTGCACACACATATTCAAGCATAAATGCTATGCGCACGCATAAACGGCTATGCGCGTCAACCCGACGCATGCACAGAAAGTTTGTAGCTTTGAGGTCCGGATTATGGGTGTCCAAATTAATGACTTTTGACTGTATATGAAGCATAAATATAAAAATGTTGAACCAGTAATTTTTAAAATTAGTACATATAAGTTTATTTTTACTCCCACTTAATTCATTTTAACTGATATTTTTATTAATCAAATCTAAAAGACGTATTGGACAACATCGATCCAAAAAAAAAGAAATTTTGAGCTACTTCTGGAAGCGATCACTTTCTTGCCGAATTGTATGTCACAAGAGCGTCTTTCGTGCAGCTGACGTAGAGCCTGTTTTGCAGCTCCTATCAGGTTGTTTTTTTAGAACGGCAATGCAAGTTTAAGTTATTGGTCCTACTTTGGTAGACAGTTACACGGATTTTGGCGAGTAATATAACTTATGGTAAACCCATTGCTGGATAATTTATTTATGATAACCGATATTTTGTTGTCATTTTATTTAAAAAATAATGTGTTTTATTGTGCATAAATTCCATGTTTTAAATATTATTTATGGCTTCTAAATATTAAAAATCAATTTAATTTTGCATTTTTATTTGAAATAAAAATTTTTTTGTTTATCATATTTTATGAAATTTTATGGTGTGGATTATGTAATCAATGACGTCACCTTACTTTAAAAGTAATTGGTTTTAATAGGTATAAATTTAATCTCATGTTTTAAACATTTTTTATGGCTGTTAAATATTAAAATACAATTTAATTTTGGCTTTTTAAAAAAAAATGATTTTATTATGTATGAATTTTTTAATAATTTTAATTCTAGGCGTGATGTAATAAGCTCTCTGATTGGTTATAGAAACATCCCCAATATTTGTGCATTAACGAGCTGTAATCAGCTCCCTGATTGGTTACTAAAAATTTGTGCATTTCCGCACCGTTTTAAAATTTAATTCATATCTTCGAACTCTTTCAGAGATGTCTTGAAAGATGTTATCTAAATTATGATTTTGATTTTTTTTGTGGTACTTATCAATAAACAACAGGTTAAATGACTAAAAAAAATGTAATTACATATTTTTCTTTTATTTTATAATTGTATACTTCAGTTTTTGTTAAAAAAATTAATGCACTATTTTAAAAAATTGCTGAGATATATTGTCCATATGTTTTAATGTTAATTATATCCTATACAGTCAAAAGTCGTTAATCCGGACTCTTCGGGACTTCGGCGATTCCGGATTATCGATTTTTCCGGATTATAGATCATCAGTTTAAATCTCGTAAGATGGCATGCAGAAATTCTAAAATTAAAAATATGAAACCGTAATTTATGAAATAAAGAACAATTATGATCTAAAGGGTATCAAAAATTTACAAAAAAAAAAAAAAAAAAAAAAAAAGGCTTAATATTTATTTGTTTACTTTATTAAACATTTCTTTCAATGTAAGTTGTTTAAGTTGCTTCGTTTTGTGATAATACTTTCTCTTTAATTCTATAAATAGACATAATTTCTTGTTCAGTTACTAAGTTTCCGCTGTTCAAGTCCCGTAATTGCTGTGCCGAGAATACCGACTAACTTGTCAATCGAAATTTTTTCGTTTTCACTAACCTCTCTGTCACCTTCTTCATGTCTTTATCCATTTTTTGCAGCAATTCCACTTTTTGTTTGATGGACATCGAAACATACTTTCGTTTTGTAGATCCTTTGGGAGCTCCAGCATCGGAAATTCTATTTGACATAATCGAAAGTTCAAGTTTACTTTTATAAAATTGCTCTTACAGTCTGCAAAAAATAATAAGCCGGATCCAATTCGAAAATTAAGGAACAACGCAACGTCAATTCATCAACATTAACTGATTTTTAGATAATTTTAGCTTATACTATCCGTTATACATAAAACGTGCACGCGAAAACGTATTCTGTGCTTGCGCACACTCATATGCGCAGTCGTAAAAGGTCTTATGCGCGTGCGTAAACGCCTATGCACATGTGTCAACACGGCGCATGCGCAGAAAGTTTTTAGGTTTGAGATCCGGATTATAGATCATTCCGAATTCTAATTCTTTTAAATGTTGGCGCAATGTTTTTATAGCGGTGTTTTTATTCTCTTCTTTGCTATATGAAAGTAATGATAACCTTACTTTATTATTTTATACTCATAGTAAATGTATTTATTTACACTTGCCTGCCATCCTAAAAAACGACATTTTCAACAAAAAATTAATCCATTACTTTTAATGATATTTATTTATTTTAAGTTTCGGATACTTTACTGTGCGTAAAAACAGCATTTTTCAAGTTGGCTGACGTTTGTAAAAATCACACCAAAAATCGTGGCAACGTAAATCGCCAAAAATCCGTGCAACCGTCTACCAAAGTAGTACCCATATAAAATTAGGATTAATCTCTGTGAACATCATTAAAGCGAAGATAATTTTTCTTTTGTTAACTATTGCAGAGAACATTTGGTGATGTTGCTTTTTTTATCATCAATCTTGACAACACAGTTTAGCTAAAAATGCACTATATTAAGCATGCATAAGTCAAGCATACGTTCTTAAACATGATAGGTGTGATGTATATTTAAATTAACTACAACTGTAACTGTAACTAAAAAAATAACTTTAACTTAGCATTGATGCACGTGTTACTGTGCTAGCTGAATGTCATGTGAACTGTTTAAAAATGTAATAATAAAAGTTTTGAATTCTTGAGTTATACTCATTAGTTGAGTCTTCTTTTAAAGTACAGAAGTAATTAAATTCAACAAACTACACAAGAAGACACAAGAAGTTACATGGTGTCAGGAGCAAAATGGATTTCAGACCACCTGCTCCGCTAACATTCTCCGTTGGAAATGTTAAAGAAAAGTGGAAAAAATGGAAGCAAGAGTTAGAAAACTATTTACTTGCAATGGAAAAAGATGCCAAGCCAGATAAGACTAAAATTGCAATCCTTTTGAATTTACTCGGTACTGAAGGACTCGAAATTTATAACACGTTTTGATTTGAACCACCTGAGAATAAGGAGAAATACGAAGAGTCTTGAGTCTTTTGAAGATTATTGTTCACCACGGCAGAATGTCGTATGAACGTTACAAATTCTTTTCGTGTAGCCAGCAAGAAGACAAACAATTGAATGTCACTTAGTTAAGACTTTAGCGCAACTTTTGAGTTTGCTGAACAAGAAAATGGATTGATTCGCGACCATATTGTATTAGGCATTCGGGATAGGAGTCTGACCGAACGTTTGCTTCGAGAATCTAACCTAGGATTAGAAAAAGCTATAGAATAGTCCGTGCCGCTGAAACAAGCAAGAGCAACTCCGGAACATAAAGATGATCCAGCGACTGTGACAGCGTGAATATATAGAAAACAGCAGCATCCATCAAAAACAGTCAGTGCCACCGAATTATCGTCTCAGCAGAAGCAATCAGCACTAGAATATGACTGCAAGAAGTGCGGAAGAAGGCACAAATATCGGGACTGTCCAGCTTTCGGAAAAACATGTGCGAAATGCAAAGTAAAGAACCATTTTGCCGCGAGGTGTCCCAGAACATTATGAGTTGGAATACCAAATAATGAACTTAGTATATAAATGAACATAGTGTA